CCTGAGAGCCACCAGAACGGCCTCCTCAGGGGCTACATCATCAGGTAGGCACCCCAAACCCCCAGGGGAGCACCCCAAACCCACGGGGAAAGGGCTAGGGAGGGTCAGGAATGGATTAGAAAACAGTGCAGATTCATGGCAGTCCTCCTCCATCTGACAAGCACTGGGCAACAAGAAATACCTACGTGGTGGCGGGAAGCATTTAGGTTAGACATCTAGAACTTCCAGCAGCGAGAGCCTTGGATGCCAGCAGAAACGGTTCATACCGTAGGAGATACCGTATAATCTCCTAAAAGGCCATATGGACGGGCAAGTCAGCCAGATGTCAAGGCTTCTGTGGGAGTAGACCCACAGGAAGACGGGGAAGAAAGAGGTAAATTATTGAAGGGTCCAACAACTTAAAAACCGAGAATATTCCATCCCAGGCCAGAGTTCTCCCCAGATGGACCAGGAGTAAACAAAGTAATGGGCTCAGAACTGATCAAAAAGTGAAAGTCCTTCCTTGGGTCCTTACTGGAAAATCAAGTCCAGTTATGTCGACTTTTATTTTTACATTTGACTGAGGGCTACTTTACTAGTGATCTAAAAGTGAGTTAGCAAGGGTTACTAAAGTTTGTATTCAAAAATTCAACTTAGCGTGTTGTTTGAAGTTCCTGAGACTCTAATCAGTATTCTGAATTCTGGCTGGGTGCAGAATGCTAGGCAGCTTCGCGGTCTCTTTCCCAGCATGTGTGCATCCTCAGAGCGCTGGAATTCCCCAAATTTGGAAGAAGTTATTGGTGCTTTGGCTGCTCCATTATCAGTTAATTTTGTTGAGGGTTTCTGGTTAATTCTAAAGGACTCTCGTCGCTGGTTAGCTGTCTCACCATGTCTTCCTCCCCCATCAAAATCAACAGTGCAGAGGCATCCCCAAGACCTGTGCTGTCCAATAAGATGGTCACATACGAGGAGTCCCTAGGGACGCAAACTGTTTGCCCTTGACTGCCAACCTATAGATTGGCAGTTTGAACCCACCCAGAAGCATAGCAGAAGAAAGACCTGGCGAGCTGCTTCCCTAAAGATTACAGCCAGGAAAACCCTATGAAGTACAGTTCTACCATGTCACACATGGCGTCGCCATGCGTTGGAATCAACTCAATGGCAATGGGTTTGGTTTTTTGGGTTTTGGGTGGCACAAATGGTTAAGCACTCAACTAGTAACCGAAAGGTTGGCAGTCAGATCCACCCAGAGTCGTGGAATAGGCCTGGCAATCTGCTTCCAAAAGGTCACAGACTTGAAAACCCCATGAAGCACAGTTCTACTCTGCAACACATGGGGTTTCATGAGTTAAAATAAACTCGACGCCAGTTGCTTTGGTTTTTCATTTTGATCACATATGGCTGTTTAAGTTAATTAACAATAAATCAAAGTACAGATTCAGTTCTACGCTTGCCCTAGCCATATTTCAAGGGCTCAGCAGCCACATGTGCTACTAGCTACGTATTAGACAGCACAGTTACAGAGCCTCTCCATCATCACAGAAAGTTCTGCTGGACAGCGCTGCTCTAGATGATGTCCCGGGCAAGAGGGCAGTGAGCCCAGGCTGAGCAAGCTGACTGAACCTGCTGCCCACTCCCCGCCTCCCCCAGGTACTGCCTGGCCGGGCTGCCCGTTGGGTACCAGTTTAAAAACATCACAGATGCTGATGTCAACAACCTGCTGCTAGAGGACCTCATCATCTGGACCAACTACGAGATCGAGGTGGCCGCCTACAACAGCGCCGGGCTGGGTGTCTACAGCAGCAAAGTCACCGAGTGGACGCTGCAGGGAGGTGGGCAGGCTTGTGGCCCTGGAGGAGAAGGCAGTTCCCTTCTGCCTGGGTCCTATACCTTTCAAGTCCTTACCTATAGGTCCTATACCTGTCGGGTCCTGTACCTATGGGTCCTGTACCTGTGAGTCCTATACCTGTCAGGTCGTGTACCTGTGGGTCCTGTACCTGTCGGGTGCTTACCTGTGGGTCCTGTACCTGCTGGGTCCTGTACCTGTGGGTTCTGTACCTGTGAGTCCTATACCCGTCAAGTCATGTACCTGTGGGTCCTGTACCTGTCGGGTGCTTACCTGTGGGTCCTGTACCTGTGGGTCCTGTACCTGTAGGTCCTGTACCTGCCGGGTCCTTACCTGTGGGTCCTGTACCTGTCGGATCCTTACCTGTGGGTCCTGTACCCGTCAAGTCCTTACCTGTGGGTCTTGTACCTATGCGTCCTGTACCTGTGAGTCCTGTACCTATGGGTCCTATACCTGTCAGGTCCTGTACCT